CAAATAGGGCATGGGACACCGGTTGTCAGGACAAGAGAGAACACAGCTCTATGTCGTCTTTCATGTGCAGCTGCGAGGTGTTGGCGGCAGTCGTCCTCAAACTTTGTCACTGCTTTTCTCTTAAGGGAACGCCAATTAGTCCTGTCTGCAGCAGCCAGTTCAAATTGTTGAGGTTGAAGGCCAGTCCACTGCAAGTTGGTCTTCAAGGTTATCCTTATACCTCTTCCTCGGGCGTCCCTGTTTGCGACTACTATGTACCAGCTCCCTGTAGAACAGCTGCCTTGGGATCCTGCTTCCGTCCATGTGGAGAACATGGCCAGACCATCGAAGCTGGATCTGGAGGATTTTGGCTTCAATGCTTGTGGAACTAGTTCTATCAAGCACTTCTTGATTAGTAAATCGGTCCTGCCAGTGTACTCGCATGATTGATCATAGGGAGCACATGTGGAACTGCTCCATCTGCTTGATGTGCCTACAGTACAGGGTCCATGTTTCACAGCCATACAGGAGAGAGGTGAGGACCACGGCATTATATACCTTGAGTTTAGTTGACAGGCGAATATCTTTGTGCTGAAGAACTTTAATATGCAGTCTCCCAAGTGCCTGACTGGCTTTCTGGATCCTTGCTGTAATCTCTTTGCCAAGGGATCCATTACTTGATACTGTGCTCCAAGATACTTAAAGTGTCCACTACCTTTAGTTGTGTACCATCAATAGTGATATATGGCTGTGGAGGAGCACTGTTTGGTGCAGGCTGGAAGAGGACTTCTGTCTTTCCAAGGCTAATTGTGAGACCGAATAGTTTAGATGCTTCAGAGAATCTGTTAATGATGGTCTGCAGGTGGTCCTCTTGGTGTGCCATAAGGGCGCACTCATCAGCAAACAGTGCTTTGGTGATAAGTCTCTCCAGTGTCTTGGTCTTTGCAGTAAGGCATCTCAAATCAAACAGTGAACCATCCAAACGGTATCTGATGTAAATACCAAGTTCTAAGTCTCTGATAGCATGCATGAGGACTTGAGCAAAGAACAGGTTAAAAAGCACCGGGGCGAGTATGCAGCCCTGCTTCATGCCATTGGAGATGTTGAATTTCTCAGATGGCACACCATCCGAGAGTACCTCCCCTTTCATGTCATCGTGAAACAGCTTGATGAGTGAGATGAACTTTGTTGGGCAACCCAGCTTCCTGAGGATTATCCACAATGCATCTCTGTTAACCGTGTCGAATGCCTTCGTCAGATCAATGAAGACAGAGCAGAAGTTCATATTCTGCTCAAGGCACTTCTCTTGAACCTGTCTCATTAAGAAGATCATATTGACAGTACTGCGATTAGGGCGGAACCACATTGTGACTCAGGGAGACTCACTTCTGAAACTATCGAAATCAGCCTGTTCAGGATGATGTGGGCAAAGATTTTCCCAGCAACGGAAAGCAGCGAGATACCTCTGTAGTTCCCGCAATCGGCTCTTGCACCCTTATTCTTGTACAGAGCAACTATCACAGCATCACGGAGGTCAGATGGCATTTCTTCCTCTTCCCAAATACTGGTCAAGACATTATGAAAAACCTTAAGTGACTCCTCATTAAATGCCTTGTACAGTTCTGTGGGAATTCCATCCTTGCCGGATGCCTTGCCACAATTCATCTGCCTGATGGCCTTTTTAACTTTGTCAATAAATGGAGGATCTCCCAGGTCTTCAAGGGTTGGCTTCTGAGGAATTTGTTCCAGTGCTGACTGATGGACTGATGATGGACGATTCAGGAGCTGATTGAAATACTCTTTCCATCGGTTATTAATGCCAGCCTTATCCCTAATCAATGTGGTTCTGTCTGCAGACAGCAAGGGGGCAAAGCCAGACTTGGAAGGACCAAAGACAGACTTGATGGAGCTGAAAAACTCCCTTGAGTTATTTAAGTCAGCATAGTGTTGCACCTCTTCAGCTTTCTTCTCCCACCACTGATAGTGCATTTTGCAGATTTCTTGCTGAGCCTGGGCCTCGAGAAACTTAAACCTGTCTTTCTTAGAGATGGAGCCTGGGTCATTCTGCCACTCCATAAATGCCTTGTTCTTCTTGGCAAGCAGGTCCTCAATAGCACTGTTATTCTCACCAAACCAGTCTTGATGTTTGCGTTTCTTGGGACCCAGCACTGACTTCACTGTCTCCATCACCATTTCTCTAAACTGGCTCCACTTCTGAATTGGACCTCCAATCAATGGTCTGTTGGCAGTCAACTTTTCATCAAGGCTTGACTGGAACTTGTGCAGATGAGAAGGCTGCTGGAGTCTGGCAATGTTAAAAGATTTTTGAATGAGCTTTGGGCGCTTTGGGTGATGCTGGGCGATGTGTATTTTGAAAATAGTGCGGACAAGCCTATGGTCAGTCGAGCACTCTGCTCCTCACATGGCTCTGGTGATAAGGACATCCCGAATATCACGCTGACAAACAATGACATAATCTATCATGTGCCATTGTTTCGATCTACAGTGCATCCAGGTAGTCTTGTATTTGTTTGCCATCCAGAACACTGTGTTTGTAATGAGGAGGTCATATTCTTCACATTTGCTCAACAGCAATAAGCTATTGCTGTTCATCTTACCAACACCATGTTTGCCTAACACTCCCTCCCATCGACTGAGGTCACAGCCAACTCGGGTGTTGAAGTATCCCAACAAAATCAACTTGTCGTTGGCCTGCACTGAGCACAGAATGGAACTGAGATCGATGTAGAACTGTTCAATTGACTCCTCTGTGCTGTTCACGGTGGGAGCATATGCACTGATGACTATTGCATGCCACTTGTGACGGCCAACTCGGGTGTTGAAGTATCCCAACAAAATCAACTTGTCGTTGGCCTGCACTGAGCACAGAATGGAACTGAGATCGATGTAGAACTGTTCAATTGACTCCTCTGTGCTGTTCACGGTGGGAGCATATGCACTGATGACTATTGCATGCCACTTGTGACGAAGGGGTAGGCATAGCTTCATGAGCCTCTCGTTAATACCGACAGGCAGGTCTGAAAGTTATTTCATCAGACTAGTCTTAATGGCCAGGCTGACTCCATGAATCCTGTCCTCATTTTGCGCTTTCCCTTTCCAGAAGAAGGTATAACCACTAGCTAGCTCAGTGAGAAATCCTTCTTCAGCCACTCAAGGCAGCGATATCAATACCATAGCGTGAAAGCTCTTTAGCGACTAAGGCTGTTCTCTGATGAGGTCTTATTGTGTCCTCACAGTCCATGAGCGTACGGATGTTCCATGCTCCCATTACCAACTTCTTTTTTTTGCACAACATAACCTGTGTGTGAAAAATATTATTGTAATGGGAATGCCTTTGCACAGAAATGATCCCACTCTCTCGGCCTCAGAAGTCGGAATCCAGTGGCACGAAAAAAAATCGTTACTTCTGGAGACTACCTAGGCTGCATTGGATGGCCATGTCACCTTAAATGCTCTGACATGCCCCACGCACTCCACAGTGCTCTGCTGCCACGCCTTCTCAGCCATTGAATCATAAGGATTTCCTCCGCCTGATCTGTTGAAGCAGTCTTTGCATGCTGGGCTGAGCAAGTCCCTAACTCACCGAGGGTTTCAGTCCCGTCAGTTACCCTCACCTGGTTTAGCCGGTAAAAAAATCGTTACTTCTGGAGACTACCTAGGCTGCATTGGATGGCCATGTCACCTTAAATGCTCTGACATGCCCCACGCACTCCACAGTGCTCTGCTGCCACGCCTTCTCAGCCGTTGAATCATAAGGGTTTCTTCCACCTGATCTGTCGAAGCAGTCTTCACATGTTGGGGTGAGCAAGTCCCTAACGCATCAAGGGTTTCAGTCCCATCAGTTACCCTCACCTGTTTTAGCTGGCCTGTCAAAGCCATTGCCGTATGCAAAGCAATTACATGGAGCCACAGGTGAGAGGTGGGTGCCAATAAAAATCAATACTACCATGCAACCCCATACACTTGTATATTATTATATACAAGTATCATAAGCAACATTTTTCCAGACTGGCATTTCATGTTTAAAAAACCTTATTTCTTACACTATTAAAAGTATAACCTCTATAACTGGATCTTAGTGGAACTACTAGAGTCAGTACACAAAACACAAACATCTAAGACACCTACTACAGGTTGGATATCTCTTATCTGTCACCCTTGGGACCCGACTGATGCCGAACTAGGGAATTTGCCAGACTAGAAGTTCCCTGCCACAGCCCCCAGCCACCGACTCTGCCATCTCCGGTTGTGAGGGGGAGAAGCAGGGGGACTACCTCCAGCACCTGCCAAGCTGTCTGCTGGGTTGCTGGCCCCATTGCCGCTGCCGTGGACAGACTGCCTGCCCTGCTCCAGCAGCTCATACTGCCACAGGCTGTCTCATTCTCCGGCCCTGCACTACTGTGAGCTGCCAGGGGCTTGGGCTGGCCCTGATTGGGATGCCAGGGGCTGCTGAGGGCTCCGGTTCTAGCCCTGCGACAGCCACGGGCTTTGGCACTGCTTCCGCATGCTGTCCAGGGCTCTGGCCCCAAACTGTTGTGGGCTGCTAGGGTTCTGCCAGCCCCAGTCATGCTGTTGTAGGCTGCAAAGGGCTCGGGCTCCAGCCCCATGGCACCGCATAGGCTCTGGCCCCAGCCTGCGTTGCCATGGGCTGTCACTTGTCCGATTCTGCACTGCTGGGGTCTTCCCTAACCCGATCCCAGTGCTGCAGGCTGTGGGGAGCTGCTGGGGACAGCTGCCAGCTCCAGCCCCACTGCTGTGGACTGCTGGACACTGCCACGAGCCTTGTCCTCCTGCTTCAACCTGGCCCCTTCTGGATTGCCCTCCTGCCACTAGGCTACCAGGGATCTCTGATCCAGGAACATTAAGATGCTGCCAGACCATGGATGTTACGAGACTAGAAAATTCTGGTTTTGGCAAGTGCAACCTGTACATCAAAATGTACTATTGTTTAGTTATATATATTGTTAAATTGTATTAATTTATTTTGTATTTTTACACAGATCTGCCATGTGGTCCTCATACATATCGTTTAGAAGATCTTGCTTATACTAGAAGTGGAGACAAGGGCAACTCTGCAAACATAGGTATTTTTCTATTCTAATTTTTTATTGCAGGGGAGATTTGCAAAGGCACAAATGTCAATTGAAGTGCCTAATTCTTATAGACTTTCAGTGATAGGTCCTGAACTGTCATTTGTGCCTTGGAAAATCTCACATGTAAACAGATTCTTTTCTTACTATCTGGATGCTGAAAAGGAAGTAAATAAAGTATAGAATTGGAAGTGACCTCTAGAGGTCACCCTAACAGGACCTAGCATCACCTGGATTCATGGTCACCAACCAAGCGATCGCAATTGACTGGTTGATTGTGGTGCCCCTAAGGATCAATCCCCACAGCCAGCTGGCCAGGCTGCCCCTCTTTCATCCAGCTCAGCTGGAGTGCGGCGCAGCCTCAGCCAGGTGGCTGCCCTTCTTTGATCCAGCCCAGCTGGAGCACGGCACAGCCTGGGCAGGCTGAAAGCTGTGGCGTGCGAGGCTGCACCACGCTCCAGCTGAGCTGGATCAAAGAGGGGCAGCAGCTGCTCCTCTTCGTTAACTTGCTGGATGGGAGGGGGGAAGAGGTGCGCAGTGTGTCCCCACTCTTGCCTCCTGGTGTGGGAAGGGGCTGGATGGCTGGCTCACGTGGCATGCTGCTGCACTCGGCTGGGCTGTGTGTGGGTTCGGGAAGCCCCTTCCCCAGCGCCCCCCTGCGCCTGGCCTGGTTGAAGCCAGTCCTGGGCTGTTCCTGCCCCAGCCAGAGCACCACTGCCTGCAGGCAAAGGGCTGGACTGAGTAGGGAAGAGACTCTCTTCGCCCTCCTTGCCCCACAGCTGCTCCCTGGAGGCTGAGTCCCAGCGCTGCTGTCCTGCTGGTGAGTGCGCTGGGGGCACAGGGATGTGGAGGTTGGAGGGGGGTGACAGAGGATGTGGGGGCAGGATAGAATGGGGCATGAGGTGATGCAGGGGCTCAGGCTGTGGGGGCAAGATGGGAGGAGCAGGGGTTGTACTGAGGGGGATGGGGCGATGCAGGGGATCATGCTGGGGAATCTTCGGGTTGAGGGGAGTGAGGCTACAGCAGAACGAAGATGGGAGGGGAGATACAATTTTACTTTTCAGAAGCTGCACTTCCTTTTACTCACCACTTCTTTGCCTCATTCCCCAAGTAGCTATTTGGCTTCATTCTCACCCTTTCACTTTTTTCTGCATTACTGATCCAACTCCCTCCTGTCCCCAAACTCCCTCTCACACCCCCATCCCACACCCTCTCCTACCGCCAAACTCCCTTCCAGACTCTGCTCTCCTCACCCCCTCCTGTACCCTCCACCTCCTGCCCAGATCCTGCATCCCTATCCCTCTCACTGGCAGCCTGTCCCATACATTGAACCCCTTATTTTTGTCCCTACCCCAGGGTATGTCTACACTACCACCCTAGTTCGAAATAGGGTGGTTAATGTAGGCAACCGAAGTTGCGGGCTTCGTTTGCATCTTGCCGGGCGCCGCCATTTTTAAAGCCCCGGTAGTTTGGACTCCGTGCCCGCGGCTAAACGCGGCACGGAGTAGGTAGTTCGGATTAGGCTCTCTAATCCGAACGACCGGTACACCTCGTTAGAGATTAGAGAGCCTAATCCGAACTACCTACTCCGTGCCGCGTTTAGCCGCGGGCACGGAGTCCAAACTACCGGGGCTTTAAAAATGGCGGCACCCGGCAAGATGCAAATGAAGCCAGGGATATTTAAATCCCGGGCTTCATTTGCAACTTCGGTTGCCTACATTAACCACCCTATTTCGAACTAGGGTGGTAGTGTAGACATACCCCCAGAGCCTAAAGGGGTCCTCAAAATCCACTAACTTAGGAACCCCAGAAAAGAAATCCGGCCTGTGGAAAGCCCTGAACTTCAGTTCTCCCTGCCCCTTCTCCTTGCCCTATGGGGGCTAGAATGCCAGAATAGTGTGGTGTCTCGGTTTGGGGCCACATCAGTGAGGGTTGGGGGGTTTAGGAGGAGTATGTTTACTTGTGTGGTCCCCAACTGATTTTACTGTGGGTTAGTGGTCCCCGACCCAAAAAAAGGATCCCTACTACTGCCATAAATAAAGAAAACATTGAAATCTTATGTGTTAGACATAGGGTGTGTCTAAACTACATGGCTCCATCAATGGAGCCATGTAGATTAGGTTGATCGGCAGAGGGAAATGAAGCCGCGATTTAAATAATCGCTGCTTCATTTAAATTTAAATGGCTGCCGCGCTGAGCCAACAAACAGCTGATCAGCTGTTTGTCGGCTCAGCGCATTAGTCTGGACTCTCCCGCGCCGACCTGAAAGCCCTTTATCGACCTCCCCGTTATGCCTTGTAAGATGAGGTTTACTGGGAAGGTCGATAAAGGGCTTTCATGTCGACAGGGGAGCATCCAGACTGCCCTGATCTGCCGACAAACAGCTGATCGGCAGAGCGGGGCAACCATTTAAATTTAAATGAAGCCGCAATTATTTAAATCGCGGCTTCATTTCCCTTTGCTGAACAAACAAATCTACGTGGCTCCATCAACGGAGCCATGTAGTCTAGATGTACCCATAATGTTTTACTCTACTTAAAATAAAGTTTGATCAGCTAACATGAGAAAGTTAAAATGCTTAATCTGTTTAATAGTTTAAACAGCAGCATGAGCAAAATGGCTCAGGTGTAATTAATAAATTAATTTAATATTTTCCAGACTAAACTAACCCAATTCTTTCAGTCATTTCTTCCCTCATAGATTATGTTTTCTAGATCTTTAATTATTTTATTGCTCTTTTCTGTATCTTCTCCAATTTGTCCACATCTTTCCTGAAATGTGGCACCCAGTACTGGACACAGTACTCCAGTTTAGGCCTAATCAGTGTGGAGCAGAGCAGAAGAATTGCTTCTTGTTTCTTACAACATGCCTCATTATTATATATATCTACCCTGTGACGTTAGTACTAGTGTTCTCTTAATGAAATACGTTTGGTTCTCTGTTGTTTATTTTAAACATTCATTAGTGTATTAGCTGCTTAGTTAACTAAAACTTACCCAGTACGTGTTTAAATATAAAACACGTATAAAATACTTGTATATTTTATTGCCTTCTACCCCCAGAAATACACACACACTTTGTTAATAGAATGTTGTTGTTGCTGCAAGTCAAGCACTCTGTAAATGCCAGAACTAAGGTTGTCTGTGCACTCTTATTTCTATTCTCTTGAGCGTAGGCACTGTAATTATTGCTTATATGATTACATATTTTTCCCATACAGATCTATAAATTGTGTGTGTGTGTGTGTGTGTGTGTGTGTGTGTGTGTGTGTGTGTGTGTGTAAATTAAAATGTTAATAGTGTTTGGAAATCTAAATATATGTAAGGAATTGTTTTAATTACGTTTTGACATCAAAAGGTGTTTTGTGCTTGTGCTGCAAACTTATTATATTGATTAGTCTGCATAGTGGGAATCGACTATACTTTGAGAACAGTGAAGTTATGTTGCCTCTTGTAACAAATCTCACACATGGAGCGGGCAAAGCCACATCTTCCATCCCAATGACTGATCCTACCATGCTCTGAGGGCTAATCATAATACATTCTCTAAATGACCTAAGTTACTCAGAAAGAAAGAACTACCTGTTCTTTTATCTGTCCTTTGTCCTTCCTGAATTGGCAAAGAAAAAAGAAAAAAACCATAAAAAAATAGGCCTCACCTCCACTCCACTGCAGGGCACTAAGCTATCTTTTTTAGTTATTTTTGTGTAGCTGTTGATTAAAAGGATCTATTTTGTACAGTTTTAAATGACAAACTATCTCAGTTTTGAAAAATAAAAATATAATGTAAATTGGTTGTATTCTAACTAACTATGTTACATGTGACAGGTGTGATAGCAAGACATCCCCTCTACTATCCATACCTAAAGAAAACTTTAACTGCTCAGGCTCTAGAGGATTATTTCCAGCATCTTTTAGAGAGAGAACAACCTCAAGAGAAGTTAGTCACAAGGTATGTATCTTCCTGATTTGTCCACATTAGCACACTCATGCATTGTGGTGACAGATAAATAAATTTTAGTTATTTTAATGTAAAGACATACAAATTCAAGTTTGCAGTCTTTTATTCTTGTGCACACATCATTTACCCTGCCATAATTAAATACACAGGCTGGGGTTCCTACCACCTTAAAAAACTCCAAGATCGGACTTGATGGAAAATGGTCATTTCATTTTGTGAACTTGATTTTGTTCCAATTGAAACCCAAACCAGAAATGTCTACATTCTCTGCAAAAAAAAAAAAAAATCTGAAAATATTTTGTTCCAGAACATCAAAATAATACTTACCATAGTTTCCAAGCCTTCCCAAGCTGTCCAGAGCCCCAACAGCCTGGCAGGCAATGAGAGAGGACTTTGCAAGTCTGGATTTGGGACAGTCTGTATAGCAGGCTGCTCTGGATCTTGTGGACTGTCCAAGAACAGGAGATGCTGGAGCCCTGGCTTCCTTGCAGGCTGCTCTTGAGCTGTGATCCTGGAAGTGTGGGAACCCAGGACTTCTAGGCTTGCAGCTACCTCTCAGCCCTCTAGACAGGTACCAAGAAGCCTGAAAGGTGAGCTGGCAGGAAACCAGGCAGCCTTTGAAACCTGATGGAACCCTGAATGATTTTTCATTGGAATGTCTAAATGAAACATGCAGATTTTGATGAACTGGCAAATTGTAATTAAAAAAAAAGTTGGCATTTTTTTCAACCAGCTCTACTCCAGTATAAATGGTCATACACTGGCAAAAGTCTACATACTTGAGTTTTCCATGTAAAGGAAATAACACAGATTAGTTTCCTGCAGTAAAAAAGAACTGTGCACTTTACATGGTATTCATCAGCCAAAGAACAAGGTACATGCAATTGTGGTTTTCCTGCTTTCTCAACAGCTCTAATGTGTTTGATGGTTGGAGAATTTGTCTCAGCATCAACCCCTTGTCTAAGAATTGTATTCTAGAATCTAAGATAATAAAATGTTAACTCTTATGATGGTGAAGAAGCCATATTATTCCACAGTGTAGGGCCTATAAACAGGGGTTTTCAAACTTTGGGTCATGGCTTGTAAGGATAAGCTGTAAGCTGGCCACGGGATGCTTTGCTTACCTGAGCATTTGCAGGCATGGCTGCATGTTCCCGGCCAATGGGAGCTGCGGGAAGTGGTTTGGGCTGAGCTACCACATCCTGCAGCTCCTATTGGACAGGAATGGTGAACAAAAGCCACTGGGAGCTGCGTGTGGCAATACTTGTGGACACTCACCTATACAAAGCATCTCGCGGCCAGCTTACCCTTACAAACCACGACCAGGAATTTGAAAACCCCTGCAACATGTCAGTCTCCAATAACTGGTTTAGAAATCCATTTCAGTATCAGTTGGCAGTTCTATAGCCATCTACAAAGACTGCAGTTCTCAAAGTATTTACATAATTTTATGTATGTAAATTATACCAGGGGTCTTTTTTAGTTCTTGAAGCAGCTTAGAATTGGGAGGACGTTAAAAGTCCAGTTTAGTGGCACCCCACTCTCCCTCCTGTAGGGCTGTGAGTTCTATGTTGTTCATCCTAAAGAGACAACAAAGAATCTCACTTGCTGTTTATTAAGTACTACCAAATTAATTAACTGATAAATGTTTTTTGTGTTAAATTTAAAAATAGTTTCATCTGTAACTGAGCAGATGGAAACAGAAATGAGAAAATGCTACACATATAATATATCCGCTGCAAGAACTGCAACATGCATCAAACAACTCACACTGGCATTGTCCTTTCTGCTTAGTTAATAGAGGTTTGCTTGTTCCTTAGTGCTGTTTATGTTCACTGACAAAGGCTGAAGTTTCCCTCTGTTCCGGATAGCAACAGTTTATTTTGATTAATTAGATCATCTCTGGTTTGGGCTTCTTTTAATGATGTGATAATGAGACTCTGTGAGTAGTGTGAAAGACTACTGGGGAAAATAATGGATCCTTTTATAGAGGTTTTTTCAGATTATAAGGATTATGATCACATGTTTCAGATCGGAAAGTTTCTTTTTAAACTTCAACACATTTTTGTAAACATGAAAGCTAGAAATAAACCCAGGAGTCTTTGCTGTTTAAACAGACATTAATGGGAATACAGAAATGTAAATGGCTTTTTGAAAATTATAATTTGAAAGCCAAAATAATATTGTTGTACTATTTAAAAAGTGTGTTGTAGCCAACGTTCTGCATTGTTGCAGATCAGAAGTTGACGGAATTTTGCCTTTTATGTCATTTGTTTAAGGCTGGTAAAATAAATATGCATATAGCATGGAAGGGGGATTTATTTTTGTTAAGATTATACCTGTAACTGCATATTCTGAAGCTTTCAGGGTTTCAGCTAGCATATAGCAACAAAGGTCTTATTTCTCACAATATGGGAAATTTGTTTTTTCCACCTAAAGCAAATTCATGTTGAATTAATTGTCTTATTTTTAAGTAATATGCAACCTCAGAACTGAAGTCAGACAATACTTCCGAACATCAAAGAAGATATAACATTCACACAGAGAAACTAGCTCTAACTTTAGTAAAACTGCCAGACTCTGGAACACAGTAAAGAGATGGGTCTGAGCAATGCTGCTGTTGAAAACAGTGTAAATCTGTTAGCAAGGCACTGCTGTACATATGGAATCATAGAAGTTGGAGTGGTAAAAGATTTGCTAGTCATATAATTCCATTGCCTGCCAATGTAAGGTTATTTGTAAGGCATTACATTTTGAGGGCTTTATACACAACACATTGCACATATTCATATTTCTTTAAGAGAGATTAGAAATGCATGATAAAACTGAAGAAATAAAGTTTGTCTTCCTTTTTTCAAAAGGAAATAATAAATTATTTCTCAAAAACTAATAAAATCCCTCTCTTTTGTCTTAATTAGCTCATTATATATCCTCTTTTGCACTATTAATCAGATACATTCTCTGACCTCTCGTCAGCACTTCAGTTGCACGTAGCTTTTATCACTTTTAATTCTGCATGCTTCTAATTGTATATATATCTGTAGTGAAGGAAAATATCAGACTCATGTGTAAACTGTTATATTCAGAATTATGACTCAGTTTAGGAAACAAGATTTAAAATAGTTAGTTACGAGGTATCTCTTTCCTGAATGAGAAAGCATAACAAAGTTGCTCTGTGAATGCTTCCTAAATTCTTTCTCTCTCTCTTTAGGGCATGGTTATTTTCTTTTCCAGGGGATAAGGGTTTCCATGTTCAAAAAGACAATACCTGTCAGATAACGTCTAGTAAACATGTATCAGTCATTTTAAATTAACCAATGAGAATTTAACAAAATTAACCAATGAAAAAACTACATTTCTGTACATACTGATACTCAAAATCCTGTTCTTTCTCACCATACATTTAATGTGCAATAATGAATCACTCCCATATTATTCCACCACACACCTATTACACAAACATCTCTTCTCTGAAATTTATACTTTCATCTTCAGCTCACTCCTGTCTAGGAAGATTGCTCTCTTTTTCTTGATGTATAAATTCGCTAATCAAAAATACATGAAAAGTGCAATGTGGCCAAAGTTAACCAAGAATTCATGAGAGAGACTTATCTCTAATGAAATACATAGGCGTTGCACTTTAAAGGAAGTAATTTAGAAGGCCCCCCTTTGTGCCTAGTTAAGGGAGTTCAGTCAAAACCATGAATTTTCCTAGTTTTATTAGTTTGCCACAATCTAAATGTTCTTTGAAGTGTTTTTATTTGTTTGTGGCGGGGGAGGGGGAAGAGACTTCTACTGTTTAAAAGCAGATTTTAAAAATACTGAGTGATTTGTACAAATACGTAATCTTTCTTAGGCTTAATTTAGATTTTACATAGTTACAGTATATATCAGTGCCACGTGATATAGTGGGTAATGTATTTTGGTTTATGCAGTGTAACTGCATGTGCATTGAAAACCATAATTACAGCTTTTTTGTGTTTGAAGCATTTTCACATTTGAACCGCCACAAATGTACCATGATATTTAAAGGTGCTTTTGTTTGTTCATCTGTAGAGAGTAATTGCCATTTTATGCACTGATTTGCAGAATCATAGCATCGTTACTTCTCAGTAACTGATATAAATTCCTAATTGGCTGAAAGTCATTCTTAGCTGAAGAAATATCAGAGATTTGATTAATTTTTGTACAGATACTTTTTAATAACAGCACTGTGAAATATTCAAATCTTTCTACTCTGGACATTACAATCCCTCTGTTTGAATTGGCTCCTGCACTAAATCTTTACAATTTGCCCATCAAACTAGTAATACAGTTGTTTATTAATATTGTAACAGGATATAGCTAAATTTGTTGTACAGCTTAATCAGAAAAGACCAATCAAGTTTATATCCTTATTACCATTAAAGTGGAGTTTGTTTCATTTTTTTCCCTTCTAATTTGTATGCTTGAATCAAAATTAGAGCATCATTACAGGCCTTCTGTAATTACTTTAGATTTTGAATTTCTATATGCTGCCTTTCGCTAGAAATTAATCTAAACCTACTGTAAAACAAACCATTCTAAATTTTACCTTTAAAGATATGAATTGCCAGGAATACATGGATTAAACTTTGTTCTGAAAAATTCCCTTGGTGGTGGCGGTATTGCATCCTTAAGGAGTGACCCACAGGTATGTATATAGGCATGGATTTTAAATGTATTTATTTATTATAACTATATATGGCACAGACTTTTTTTAAACAGTACTTAGATGGAACTTTTGACTGCAGAGCTATCTTTTAATTTCACAGAAACATAATCTCTCATTTATTCTTCCAAGTTTGAAAACTAAGCAGTGATGCATAGCCCAGTTGGTGGAAAATGTGTGGTTTTATGTGCAAATGATGGATTTTTGGGGTGTATGAATGGTAAAGTTGCCATACTTTGTGATGTGTCAGCTGTGTTTTTGACAAACCAATGAATTTAGCCTCTCATAAAAAAGAACTCATATTTTTGGGAGCAAATATTTACATGACAATTTGGTTTTGAGTGTATTCTGGTTTGCATAGGACCAGATTCCCAGCTGGTGTAATTCCATTGATTTTGATCAAACATTTAACTGGTATAGCTTCACTGACTTTGGAGTAAGACCGGTTCACTTCAACTAAGAATCTGGATAGAGTTTAGCTGCAGGTGTACAAAGGGAAGATGAAGGCACAGTATGGCACCCTTTTCCGGAAAAGGAATGCTAATGAGACCAGTCGGAATTGCAAATGCCGCGGGGGATTTAAATATCCCCCGTGGCATTTGCATGAACATTGGCTGCTGCTTTTTTCTGGCTCAGGGCTTTGCCGGAGAAAAGCGCCAGTCTAGACGGGATCTTTCGGAAAATAAAGCCTTTTCTGGAAGATCCCTTATTCCTGATTTTAAGAGGAATAAGGGATCTTCCAGAAAAGGCTTTATTTTCCGAAAGATCCCGTCTAGACTGGCGCTTTTCTCCGGCAAAGCCCTGAGCCAGAAAAAAGCAGCAGCCAATGTTCATGCAAATGCCACGGGGGGTATTTAAATCCCCCGCGGCATTTGCAATTCCGACTGGTCTCATTAGCATTCCTTTTCCGGAAAAGGGTGCCAATGTAGACACAGCCTTAGAGTACATTTACACTGCATTTAGCTGACTTTAGCATGCAGGACTCAGTCAAAGGGTTAATTGCAGTGTAAACATTTGCTCTTGGGCAATAATCAGAAGTCTGGGGCCCTTTCACCTCAGAGATTCCTAGGGCCTGAGTTCCAGTCTGAGCCAAAACTAAGGATGTTAATTTTCCATTGACTACTTGACTAGTCACTTCCACATTCCTCCTTTGAAATGTACAAGAGCCCCAGCAAGGGCTCTTGTACATTTCAAAGGAGGAATGTGGAATTCCGCATGCAGCCCGGGGCCAGTGGGAACTCCTGCTGACTCTAGGCTGCATGCAGGCATGCCAGCTTTGAAATGTACAAGAGTCCCCAGCGAGTGCTCTTGAGCATTTCAAAGCAGAAGTGCCTACATGGAGCCTGGTGTCAGTGGGAGACTCAGAGTCCCCCGCTGACCTTGGGCTCCATGCTGCACTGCCGCTTTGAAATGCCATGCGGAGCCTGGGTTCAGCTGAGGACTCCCCAGTTGCCCCCAGGCTCCATGTGGCTGCCGCTTTGAAACACCGTGGCAGCATTTCAAAGGGGCAGCGCCACACGGAGCTCGGTACGGGTGCCATGTGGTACTACCGCTTTGAAATATCTCTTTTCTCCCCACATTGCTGCCTCTATCTGATAGAGCATTTACTCATCGGCTAGTCAACTATTCCTTAACTCCTTAGCCCGAACATCTGCTCTCAGCTAGATAGCCCTTTTGGTTGAGCCCCATAAAACTGAGACAGCTGCCCCAGACCAGCCATAGTTTTCAATTGTAGTGTAGACACGCCCCTAATTTCCCCACCCCAACATAATTTGCTATTGCTGTCATGTCCACTGGCACTCTCCCATCACAATGGGTATGGCCTGTAGGTTATGGATATGGTGAGACTCTTGTGCCTTGGTGAGTAGGAATTTGCATAAAACTATTCTACAGCTCTTGTAAAAAGTTCCATTCTTTGCATTCTTCACTTGTTTCTCCATACTCCCTTCAGCCTGTCTACCGTGGTAAAGTGAAAGGGAACAGCCAGCATGGATTTGTAAAGAACAAATCATGTCAAACCAATCTGATAGCTTTCTTTGATAGGATAACAAGTCTTGTGGATAAGGGAGAAGCGGTGGATGTGGTATACCTAGACTTCAGTAAGGCATTTGATATGGTCTCGCATGATATTCTTATCAATAAACTAGGCAAATACAACTTAGATCTGGATAACCGTATTCAGAGTAATTATTAACAGTTCACAATTCTGCTGGAAAGGTATAACAAGTGGGCTTCCGCCGGGGTCTGTTTTGGGACTGGCTTTGTTCAATATCTTAAATCAACAATTTAGATATCGGCATAGAAAGTACACTTATTAAGTTTGCAGATGATACCAAGCTGGGAGGGGTTGCAACTGCTTTGGAAGATAGGGTCATAATTCAAAATGATCTGGACAAATTGGAGAAATGGTCTGAGGTAAACAGGATGAAGTTTAATAAGGGCAAATACAAAGTGCTCCACTTAGGAAGGAACAATCAGTTTCACACATACAGAATGAGAAGCGACTGTCTAGGAAGGAGTACGGCAGAAAGGGATCTAGAGGTTATGGTGGACCACAAATGAAATATGAGTTAACAGTGTGATGCTGTTGCAAAAAAAGCAAACATGATATTGGGATGCATTAACAGGTATGTTGTGAGCAAGACACAAGAAGTCATTCTTCCGCTCTACTCTGTGCTGGTTAGGCCTCAGTTGGAGTATTGTGTCCAGTTCTGGGCACCGCATTTCAAGAAAGATGTGGAGAGAAAAGCAACAAGAATGATTAAAGGTCTAGAGAATACGACCTATGAAGGAAGGCTGAAAGAATTGGGTTTGTTTAGTTTAGAAAAGAGAAGTTTGAGGGGGGACACAATAGCAGTTTTCAGATATCTAAAAAAGTGTCGTGTCATAAGGAAGAGTGAGAAAACTTGTTCATCTTGGCCTCTGAGGATAGAACAAGAAGCAATGGGCTTAAACTGCAGCAAGGGAGGTTTAGGTTGGACATTAGGAAAAAGTTCCTAACTTTCAGAATGGTTAAACACTGGAATAAATTTCCCAGGGAGGGTGTGGAATCTCCATCTGTGGAGATATTTAAGAGTAGGTTAGAAAATATCTATCAGGGATGGTCTAGACAGTACTTGGTCCTGCCATGAGGGCAGGGGACTGGACTCGATGACCTCTCGAGGTCCCTTCCAGTCCAGAATTCTATGATTCTATGCCCCAGAAACCCTGGATAAGCACTTTGATAGATAGGACTAAATAAAGGATTTCTTTTTAACAAGGCAAGTTTCTTAGGTATCAAACACATGAAAAAGTTCACAAAAGAAAAATAGGTGGAGGAGGAGGAGCAAGACCAAACATTGTCAGACTCACAATAACGTTTTGCCAGGAGTCAATTAAATTATCCAAAACAAAATCAAATCAATAGTTTTGACATTATACTTGACTTGTACTGTCTTTCTCCAAGTACAGTAACCTCTATGCTAGAATTGAGACCAACTTTGTGTGTGCATGACAGTTTCATGTTATTGGGAATTCATGAAAAAAGCCATTTCAAAATTTACGTCTCAAATAATAAGTTACATTAAAGATTAGAAATATCCCTATAAACTGTGCATGAAGCCGCAGTAGTACATATGCAGTACTGAGATCCCAATTTTGCCATCTTTACTCATGCTGAGAAATATCTTACATTGCAAGTAGCCTCACTAAAATCAACTGGGCTATTTGAAGAATAAAATATAGTAAGTATGACAAGTTGTCAGTATTGAGTCCTAAAAAGCAAACTATCGAGATTACTGAACTCTGATATGCAGCAATTTTAATTAATTGATTAATTACAACTTAAAGCTACCAGTTTTTAAATGATGGCAAATCTTAAGTACAAGTTAAAAAACTTGATTTAGAAAAAACTTATGTGAATAACAAAGTCAAACAAATAAAAGAGAGAAAGAACCTATGTGGATTTGCAATTCAGGGCTTGAGAAAATTACTCAAAAGCTTGTTGTAACATTACATAATTGGGTATTAGAGAAACCTGCAAAATTCAGATCCAGACTTTGAAGTTCAGAGATGTTATGTAATGTAGACGTGTGCTAGATAGCCTGTTTTTTTCAAACAACATTTTTAATTAAAAAAATTGTAAACACTGTAGATATAAATATGTAACTTACTGTTAGATATTTGTTTCACTACGATGCAATTTGTTTTCTGTTTTGTTCTCTCTACAGGGCAAGGCATTTGGACAGATGTTACTGGATTTTCAGATAAAAAATGTTCCAGATTTAAAGTCATTAATAGAGTAATGATTTGGAGGTTCATTGATATTTAAAACTCTGAATACAAACAGACATACTAAACAAAAAAAACCTGGCTTCTTGAATCACATTCAAGAAACTGCAGAATAAAGTGGTGGTGACAATTATTATTGTGAGGCACAGATAATGAACTTTGTGAATATTACCAGACAAGTAGTTTTGTTTGTGATTGATTATATTTCTATCAAGTTAGTACATTGGATAAAGAGTTAATTTATTTCCTGTAAAATATAATTAAGCAATGATATACAAAATAATAATTTTACTGTGAGATAGGCAGACAACCACTCTCCTCAAATGAAAACTACATTTCTAGTCCATCCTCCTCTCTGTCCTTATTAATTAAGAGGAATAATGTTGTTAAACTTTAACTGCTCAAATCCACCACCTTCAGTCTGCACTGTGATCTTGCACAGCATATCCCTTAAGCACAAAGACAGTCAGGTAACTTGTGCTTGTCTGTTGGAAAAAATCACAGTTTAGCAACAACTGTCAAACTATGGTAGCTAT